GCATACTTGCCATAAATGTGATCTAAACCTTCATGCATTCCTTGCATGGTTAAAAATAAAAAAAAAAGAAAAGAAAAAAGGTTTAGGTGTCACCCCCTAAACTTACCTGAGCCTTCACTTGATCAAGTGCAGGGTCTGTCTGCAGAGGCAGCGGGGCTTGGGATCAAGCACGTAGGATAGGAAGCAGCTTTCTATAGTGGCAGACCTAGAGAAGGAGCGAGGACCACCAGCAGGGGACCCAAGAAGAGGTTATGTTAATATTAAGGTTAGGTTATGTGTAATAAAATGGAATGACGCAGGAAAAAGTATTGAACACACGAAGGGATGGAAGAAAAAATAAATAAATAAAAACACAGCATGGACAGCCAAGACACCGGCTGCAATCAGTAATTAGAAAGCAATCCTGCCCCTTGTCAGTGCAAATATCAGCTGGTTCAGACTCAACTGATATATCCTATAAAAAAGGTGTCATTACCAAGGTGTCACACAAACATCTCATGATAGGTAAAAGCAAAAAGGCTCTCAAGACCTTCGCAGCCTCATTATTGCAAAACATACTGATGGAATTGGTTGGAGAAGAAGGATTTCTAAACTGAATGTTCCAGTGAGCACTGTTGGGGTCATACTCCAAAATGGAAAGAGCATCAATTCACCATAAACTGGCCAAAACCAGGTGCTCCTCACAAGATCTGACAGAGGAGTGAAAAGAATCAGAAAAGTTGTCCAAGAGCCAAGGACCACTTGTGGAGAACTTCAGAAAGACATGGAATTAGCAGATACAATGGTTTCAAAAGAAAAGTAATGAACGCAACCACATGGCCTATATGCACGCTCACCACGCAAGACTCCATTGCTGACTCCATTGCTGAAGAAAAAGCATGTAGAAGCTCATTTAAAGTTTGCTGCACAACAAGTCTGTGAAATACTGGGAAAGTCTGGTCAGATGAGACCAAAATTGAACTGCTTGGATGCCATAATACACACCATGTTTGGAGGTCAAATGCCACTACACATCACCCCAAAAACACCATACCAACAGTGAAGTTTGGAGGTGGGATCATCATGGTATGGGGATGTTTTTCAGCATACGGTACTGGAAGCCTTCATTTCATTGAAAGATTAATGGAAAAATGTACAAAGACATTCTTGATAAAAATCTGCTGCCATCTACCAGGATGATGAAGATGAAATGAGGGTGGATATTTCAGCAAGACAATGATCCCAAACACAAAGCAAAGGAAACTCAACTCGTTTCAAAGAAAGAAAATAAAGCTGCTAAAATGGCCCAGCCAATCACCTGACTTGAATCCAATAGAAAATCTATGGAAAGAACTACAGTAAAGATCAGAGTTCATAGAAGAGGCCCACAGAACCTTCAAGGATTTGAAGACTGTGGAAGAATGGGCCAAAATCACACCTGAGCAATTCATGCGACTAGTTTCTCCATGCAGGAGGCTTCTTGAAGCTGTCATTACCAACAAAGAATTTTGTATGAATAAAATAAATTTCAGTTAGCGTGTTCAACACTTTTTCCCTGTCATTCCATTTGATTACAAAAAAAAAAAAAAAATTTCTGAACTTGTTTTGGTTTCTTGGTATGTATGTATTGCATGGGTGGTTACTGACATGATGAAAACAGCATGTTAATAGCACCTTTATATTTACCTAGAAAAATGGTGACGCGTTACACACACGCACACAGAAAACACATCAGATCTCAATGGGGAAAAATACCAAGCTTGATATCTATACGGATATGGGCTGGGTAATGTGTTCGGAATGCAAGGATACCCTATCATCAGTCCTCTGTAGGTTGATTTGTCATTGTAAAGACACTCAGCAAAGCAAAGTAAATTTTAAAAAAAAAGAAAAAAAATGCAGTATGCTAGTCCATTTTGCTGAAATTTAATTGCAGGAACTCAAAATGGTACTCAGTTTGTGTGGCACCCACGTGCTTTTATGCATGCCTGACATGCTCCTAATGAGACATCAGATGGTGTCCTGGGGTGGTATTTCATCCCTGATCTGAAACCAGGGCATCACTGAACTCCTGGACAGTCTGAGTTACAACCTGGCGGCGTCGGATGGACCAAAACATAATATCCTAGAGGTGTTCTATTGGATTTAGGTCAGGCGAGCGTGGGGGCCATTCAGTGGTACAAATTCCTTCATCCTCCAGGAACTACCTACATACTCTCATCACATGAGGCCGGGCATTGTTGTGCACCAGGAGGAATCCAAGACCCACTGCACCAACGTAGGGTCTGACAATGGGTCCAAGGATTTCATCCCGATACCGAATGGCAGTCAGGGTGCCATTGTCTAGCTGGTAGAGGTCTGTGCGTCCCTCCATGGATATCCCTCCCCAGACCATCACTGACCCACCACCAATACGGTCATGCTGAACAATGTTACAGGCAGCATAACGTTCTCCATGACTTCTCCAGACCCTTTCATGTCTGTCACGTGTGCTCAGGGTGAACTTGCTCTCATCTGTGAAAAGCACAGGGCATCAGTGGCAGACCTGCCAATTCTGGTGTTCAATGGCAAATGCCAATCTAGATCTATGGTGCCAGGCAGTGAGCACAAGGCCCACTAGAGGACGTCAGGCCACCCTCATGAAGTCGGTTTCTGATTGTTTGGTCAGAGACATTCACACCAGTGTCCTTCTGGGAGGTAATTTTGTAGGGCTCTGGCAGTGCTCATCTTGTTCCTCCTTGCACAAAAGGAGCAGATACCAGTCCTGCTAATGGCATAAGGACCTTCTATGGCCATGTCCAGCTCTCCTAGAGTAACTGCCTGTCTCCTGGAATCTCCTCCATGCTCTTGAGACTGTGCTGGGAGACAAAGCAAACCTTCTGGCAATGACACATATTAATATGCCATCCTGGAGGAGTTGGACTGCCTGTGCAACCTCTATAGGGTCCAGGTATCGCCTCATGCTAACCATTAGTGACACTGACCCTAGCCAGATGCAAAAACTAGTGAAAACAGTCAGAAAAGAGGAGTAAAGGAAAAATGTCTGCGGCCTCTACCTGTAAAACCATTCCTGTTTTGGGGGTTGTCTCATTGTTGCCCATCTAATGCACCTGTTAAGTTAATCAACACCAAAGCAGCTGAAACTGATTAACAACCCCCTCTACTTAACTGACCAGATCAATATGCCAGGAGTTTGACTTGATGCTATACTCTGATTAAAAAGTGTTCCGTTAATTGTTTTGCCATACATATATACACACACACCTCCAAGTAACTGAAGAACCCAGTTCTACTATACAGAATTCATTTGACTCCTTTTCCTAGAATTATTTGTTGTACGTTCTTGAACGCTGGGGCTTTGTGCAAAAGTTTCTCTAATGGATTAGAGTAATACACTCACCTTCAATTTACATTAATATAGATTTACTATTTAGAGAGAACAGGGATTACAGGATTAGAGGTTGCAGGACGCCATCAAAAAAGGAATCCAATGTGCAGATGAGGTCTTCACAATACTTAGAAACCCTTCCATCTCTCTCACAAATCTTTTTCTCTCCAGTTCACAAAAAAAACTTTGGCAACATCTGTTGGCTTTTGGGGCTAAACTGATATATTTCTTTGTGCTGAACCCCAAACCTTGCTACAAGACAACTATCAGTTCCTCCAAATCTCATCCCAGCCACCATACTTTGGCATTAACCTTACTGCAGCCCAACACTAACGGGCTTGATAGTTTGCCTGGTATAAACCGTTTTGGCACACTTTACAAAAAAGGAAAGGACCTATATCCTGGCTAGGAAGAATAACTGCAATGAAGTAGTCACTTATCTAGGTTCTTTTACTTTGCTAGAATATTACTGTGCCACCTGTACACAGATTCAGACTTTGAAACTTACAGGGAAAAGTTTGCATGGTATAGCACTAGGCTAAGAGTCTCACAAAACACGCTTTCATTTCAAGAGTTGAAAGCTGAAGTTTTCCAAATGTGACAAAATACTATAAAAACAGCACAGGTGCCCAAAGTGATGTTATTAAATTCAAATTCATTGAAGACCAGTCCAACGTAGCTGCTGTGAAAGCCAACTACACAAGATTGTAAGGTTTGGGGTGCAAGTTTATCATACAATTATAATAGTATTTAGGCATAGACACAGCATCCTGGAAACCGTATGAGGCGTATTGGGCAAAACACTGCACAGTTGTAGTAAGCACCAAAACATTATTCGATTTAAAAAAAAAAAAAAAAAAAAAAAAACACAATCACTGGTCCCCTAGTCATCCAACTCTTGAATAGTATATAGACGAAAACAAACACTTTGGTTATTGGGACTTATAGGTACCAATTCATAGAACATTTTAATTTAGTATGTAAACAAGAATACTTTGACATTTTAGAAAATTTTGGTCAGTTTTACCTGGCAGTGAGACTTTCAACCTTTAGCTGTAGTCCCTGCTGCTGTAAAGATGCGTTACTAGACCGATCTTGTCTCCATGGGTGGAACACTACCTGACCATTTAAATCCAGTCTTGCTAACCATCTAAGATTCTCCCCCACCAAAAGATCTCCACCCACCTTTTTCTTTACAATTTCCCACTTTTCCTCCTCCCCTCTCCCCACATGCCATTTCTTTCCTCCCATCTTCTCTATTTATTCCTTACACACCATTTCATCTCCTGTAAACATGTCTTCCCCAGCCATAAACCCTAACACAGACAACCATTAACACTTTCCCATGAATTTGCTCAAGAAGCATTTGTTAGTAGCAATGCAGTTAGCCAAACACTGAAAATTACCTTATACTATTCTGCACAGTCGATATTACAACACCACACCTATATACAGTAAAACGCAGATAGGAGTCTTGAGGTCTTCTCATAAATCATATCAACCATTAAGCTGCCCATGGACAGCTCTATAGAATGTTGTTACCATTTGCTCCAGTCAAGTTATATGAGGTTTTAATAAAAATCTATTAGACACTAATGATAATTAGCTGTGACACATTTTAGCATGAATACCCCTACAGGTCCAAATTACACCTCTTAGGCCAGGAAATCATCTGAGAACATGAAGCAAGTGAAAACCAACAAACCGAAAAATAAATAAATATATATTTTAAATGTGTTTTGATTACTTGTGTTTTCTTCATCAGGTCAGTCATAACAGGGAACCAGTCAGCTGCCATCCTTTCCAACTCCAAGGTGATAATTGCCAAGGCCAGCGTGGAACCCCTAAACTGCAGTAACTGGTGGCATGCCATGCAGTGCTGTAGTTGCCTGGTTAAGAGTGCCACGTGGCGAGAAGGATTCATTTGAGAGAAGCTGCCAAAGAGATGAGGCCAGCTGAACATCACCATGGCATGGAACTGCAGAAAAAAAAACCCAAAATGTATCATATCAAGGTCGATTGTCTCCATCTTTCACCTTTGTTGACCAAATGTGATAAACAAGAAATGCAGTTGACATCAGGAAGGCTGAGTTGTGGCCATTTCTTTGTGTCAGTACATGCTGTAATTATACGTCAGACTATTGAGCTTATAACTGAATGTAACAATGTGTTCCCCAAGAACACAACCAAACTATTTTTGTGTGTTTTGTTCCTTGGCTACTTGCGTAATCTTTGCTTATATTTCAAGCAAGCAACCACAGGTTTTCCCTATTTTCTAAAATGTGAATACTTGTTTTGTTAGTGTACCAAGACCTGTACCACATAGATTTCAGAACGAATCTGTTTGAAACCATACTGAAAGCAGAATAGTAACTGCAGGCCAATTTAGCAATTTGGCGATTCTGCAGACCGCATTACTGCAGTCTAAACAATATGGTCACTGAACAATGAGCAAGAAAAAGCTGCATTACTGCAGCCAAATGAGCTAAAAAGAAGACAGTATTAGGTAAAGAACTCCAGGCAAGAGTGCCAGCAACCATACCTTATAGAAGGATGTGTGCACCTTTAAAATTTTTTTTTTTTTTTATTGTGCACTGTAGAACTGCTTGGCAAGTAAAAAAAAAAAAAAAAAAAAAAAAAAAAAGTGGATGCAGGAACGTAGTCATAAATAGTGTCCTGTCTGGAGATCTTAAACAACTACCCCTAAGGAAACTGTAGCACGTATATAAACATACAGGGTTTGCGAACACTTAAGCAAAAGCTTTATGATTAGATGTATCAGGGTAATCTTCCTCAAGAGGCTGGATAAGTAGTCTGTATTCTGTTCTGTTAAGAAATAATTGACAGCAGACAATGCGTGTAAATTTGTTGTGTGAAAAGGTTTGTTGTGTTCCTGTACCATACAGTTTTTGCCTTAACATTATAGTAATAATAATACTACTACTACAATGTAATAATACCAACGCATCTTTTTCTGCTAGAATGTTTCTAGCAGAGAAGGGAAAAAAAGGGCATTCTTTGTCCTTTCAAACTCATGTGACAAGTACCAGACTGATGTCATATGAGCTTCAATCTTATCAAAACTGGAAGTTTTCTTGGTAACAAGTATACAATTTATCCAAAACCTGACAGCTTTCTATGTACAGTGTTGTTGAAAAAAAAAGTAAAGAGTTAAATATTTTTGCAACATTGTTTAGAATTTTAAAGTGAAAGAATAGTTTTTTTTTTTTCCTTAATTAAAAAAGACGATAGTTTTCTTTGTTCATACAGGTCAGTGACAATAGCTTCTCAAGTCCAGCTCTGTAACATGGTTGTGCATACACGTCTCTTGTTTACATTATCCACCAATCATTTTGCTATACTTACAATGTTCAGGAAGTCAACTGGTGTGGCTGTGTACAAATCCCATTGCAGTTTATCCAGTATGATCCTTTCCATCCTTAGAATTTCAGCAGATGAGTATAGGCAGTCACTTTGCACTGCAAGATTCTTCAATGATGGGATTATCTGTAATAAATAGATTTAATTCAATAAAAAGAAAAAAAACGTTTAGCCAAATTCTGTGCACTGTCTCCATGAAAAATTATTAAGATTCATAAAACACAAATGTTAAGAGTCATCAACACACTTGCAGAACCAGAATCTTTGTCATGAGAGAAATGGAATTCAATCAAGTTTCCATATAGTGGAATAAAAAAAACCAAAAAAAAAAAAACCAAACAGCACACAATTTACCTGAGATCACCAACTTTATAGCAAACCTGTCAAGTACATCAAAGGTTCCAAATGGAATAAATGACAAAAGCACACACACCTCTTGTAATCCCCAATTGATTTCTGAATGCCAAGAAAGCTACTAGATCTCAGGTTTTGCTATAATTAGGGCCTTTACTTCTGCCAGATAGGGAGCTTGGCCACACCCTCTTCCTCACAGTGACCACCTGCACTGATCATGTCTGTCCATCAGGGGGAATAGAAAATTAGAATAGATTAGAAAAATCGACAGGTAAATGCGTGCTAAAAAGCTGCTACTGCTAACCTTCACCTAACTTGCTAGTTGACCAAATAATTTCAATGCTTCCTGAGTAACTCAAATTACTAAAGCCACTAGAAACAGCATGATGACCAGGCAACCTCCACTGTTTTCCCTCAGCACATATTTAAAAAGCTTACCAGTCTTTAGATGTGATGGCTGCATTTTTTTTAGGCTTTTTTCTCTTCTAGCCAGGAAGTTTTATGCCAGCCATAGACTGTTCGTAATTTGGCCGATTTTTGCACTGTCAGTGTGTTAACTGGTCGGCCGTTTTTCTGCACTTTGAGATTATTGGTCATGTTGGAAAATTCACGGCCGATCTTCCCGGCAATGATGGTCAAATCGGCCGATCGTTTTGATAAAAAAAAAAAAAAACCGGAGCATGAGCCGTGACCTGCAAGGGACAGGAGTTATGGGGTGAACTTTATGATTTAGTCGGCCAATTTTTTTCATCGTTGGTGGTAACGTCGGTCGAACGAACGACCAATTTTTTGTGTATCATTTGAAAAATCGGCGATGTTCGACCCACCTATGGCCTGCATTACATAGCTACATGGTTAGTCTGACTGAAAAAGACAAAAAGTGTCCATCCAGTTAAAAAAAAAAAAAAAAAAAAAAAAAAGTTATAAATCCTATACCCACAATTGATTCAAAAGGAAGGCAAAAAACCCCAGAAAAATTCCCTCCTGATCCCAACCCCCCCCCCCCCCCCCCCCCCCCTCCCCGAGCGGCAAGTCGGATATTCCCTGGATTAACTTTACCTATAAAATATTAGTATCCAGTTATATACATCTAGGAAAGAATCCAGGCCCTTTTTTAAAACAATCCACTGAGCTGGCCAGAACCAACTCTTGAGGGAGTCTACTCCACAGGCTCACAGCTCTTACTGTGAAGAAACCTTTCTGTATTTGGAGATCGAGCCCTGGTTCACACTGATGCGGTGCAGAATTTGCAGAGTTTTCTGTGCGAATTCCGCACCGTATCAGAATCACACCCCGTTCATGCGAACCGCTTTGGGAGTGTATGTTAAAGTTAACGCCCTGAAAGTGGTCTGCAAATCACGGTGTGATGTTCAGATTCGGATCGCATAGGTGTGAATACCCATGCAATCCAAATCTAGTGCGGACCACAAAAGGGTCCTGCACCTTTTTGGTGCGGGTGCGATTAGAGCCATACAAAATGTACAGCTCCAAATTGCAGTGCACACAAATCGCACGCGATTTGCGCAGGAATGCGGTGCTGCTCCTGTGCGGATCACATACGAAATACCGCACCGCATATATGTGAACCCAGGCTCAATCTCTTTTCCTCCAGATGTAAAGAGTACCCCCTAGTCCTCTCATGACCTCAGGGTGAATAACTCTACACTGAGTTCACTATATGAACCACTGATGTATTTATACATGTTGATCATATCCCCCCTTAATCTCCTCTTCTCAAGAGAGAATAAATTCAGTTCCTCTAATCTTTCCTCATAGCTGATCTCCTCCATGCCTCGTATCAGTTTGGTTGCCCTTCTCTGTACTTTCTCCAGTTTCAATGTTATTTTTGTGAATTGGTGCCCACAACTGAACTGCATGTTCCAAATTAGGTCTTTTTCAAAAGAACAAGCTCTCCTGTAGATTTAGCAGTTACAGGGTTGAGAAACCATCTACTACAGACAGGGGTGCTTACAATGATCATCTTTTTATTTATGTAAAACTAAACCATCCAGTCCTTTTGAGCCAAGGAAGCCGTCATCTAATGCTAACCATATACTAACTGGGGGAAAAAAAACAAAAAAAACAAACACTCAAACTCGTTTCCAAAATAACAAACACTTGGTCATAAGAGTAAACCATATTGCCACCATGCAATAACCAAATTTCGATCAATTGTTGAATGTACATAAATCAGTTTTTGTTTTTTGTCACATATGCACAGTACTAACAGTTTGATTTTTAAACAGGTGAGAAGCATTAACCCTTCAATCATCCATTCAGCAGATTTTTTCCAACCTGTTCCATCAATTTTTGGCTCTGAAAAAACAAAAAGCGATTTCTATTTGTGCCCAATAACTGGACATAAAAAAAAAAATATGTACCATGTTGATGTCAAGCCTGTACAGAAAACTGCATACATGTTGCAGATTCCTGTGCAGAACAAATCTGCACGTGTTGTGGTGTGAACAGGGCACATAAAATGAAAAACTGACCCATAAAAGAGAGCTGGAGTTTGGCTTCAATTTGTTAGATGTACTAGCAGATTTAGATACACCAACACCCTCCATCCCACAGACTGACAATCCTGCTGTCCAAGGATGTCTCTGGGCTCCTTCATCCAGAGTGGTGTCTCACTAATAGGCGTGTTCCTGGCCAGATAACCAGGTAAAAACAGAAGGGGGAAAAGCAAAAAAAAAAAAAAACACCAAATGCAACTGCCACATCTGTTTGCCAAGTTACATTATTGAACAGATATTTAAATAAAAATTGTTTACGTAGAGGTTGCAGTCTCTGAAAAGTACAGTGGGGAAATTTGATCCTCTGCAGATTTTGCAAGTTTGCTCACTTACAAAGAAATAGGTGTATTTTAAAATGATAGAGTATCAACCAAAAATCCAGAAAAAAAAAAACAAAAAAAAACACACTCTACTTATTTTACTCACTGAACTGCAACTCCATCTATAACATTTGTATTTGATCCCCAAGCAAAACATTGACATGGAGAAACCCTTGTTAGCAAGTACAGAGATCAGAAGTGTCTTGTAGTTGGTTACCAGGTTTGCACACATCTCAAGAGGGATTTTGGTCCACTCTTAACAGATCTTCTCTAAATCCTTAAGGTTTCTTGGCCATCACTTGGCAACTCAAAGTTTCAGCCATACATTTTCTATAGGATTGAGGTCTGGAGACTGGCTAGGCCACTCCATGACCTTAATGTGCTTCTTCTTGAGCCACTTTGTTACCTTGGCAGTATGTTTTGGGTCATTGTCATGCTAGAAAATCCATCCATGGCCCATCTTCAGTGTACTGGCTGAGGGAAGAAGGTTCTCATCCACATAGCCCCATCCACTGGCCCCTCAATGCAGCAAAATCAGCCTGTATCTTTAGCAGAGAAACAGCCCCAAAGCATAATGTTTCCACCTCCATGCTTGACTGTAGGAATGGTGTTCTTAGGGTCATATTCAGCATTTTTCCTCCAAACATGGTGAGTCAAGTTACTATCAAAAAGCACAATTTTGGTTTCAACTGACCACAGCACTTTTTCCCAATCTTTCTTTGAATTATATAGATGTTCATTAGCAAACTTCAGATGGGCCTGTTCTTGAGGAAGAGGACCTTGCGGGCAGGGCTTCCGCCATGGTGGCATATTGTGTTAACAATGGTTTGTTTGGTGACTGTGGTCCCAACTGCCTTGGGCTCATTCACAAGCTCCTCCCGTGTAGTTCTGGGTTGATACTTCACTTTTCTCATGATCATGAGGCAAACATCATGGAGCTCCAGAACGAGGCCGATTGATGGTTATTCTGTATTTCCTTCATTTGCAAATAATCACGCCTACAGGTGTCTCCTTCTCACCAAGTTTCTTGCTTATTGTCTTGTAGCCCATTCCAGCCTTGTGCAGGTCTACAATCTTGTCACTGATGTCTTTTGGGCAGCTGAGGTTTGAATAGAATAAATATTCTGTGTGTGGGCAGGTGTCTGTTATATGACGCGTTGTCATTAGGAGGACCTTCTTTTAATTGACAGGTCTAATCTGCATACCACATAGCCAGTCTGTGGGAGCCAGATTTATTGTTGGTTGGTAAGGGATCAAATACTTTTGGTTGATAGTCTATCATTTAAAAAAAAAAAAAAACAAAAAAAAACCAAACACACCGATAACAAAAATTAGACCCTTCATTTCTTTGTAAGTGGGCAAACGTACAAAATCTGCAGGGGATCAAATTAGTATTTTCCTCACTGAAAAAAACAGGAAAGAGACTGAGCAGCTGAAGATGTATGAAAAAGGTCAAGCTTGGTCCTGACCCACCCTAGAGATTGTGCGATGGGTGGCACATTCATCCATATAGAGGCTCTTGTAGGAAGGTGAGGCCATACTTGCATTTTACAGATACAAAGGAGTTTAGCTTGCTGTAGCTCTGAGTTTGACAGTTTAGGTTTTTCTCTTGAACCACCCAGGTTGGCGACACATTTTCCTCAGATGTTGAAATCTACATGAGAAAAACATGGGATCTACTATGCTGTGTACAACAGGAACAAGTGCTTGTTCCTGGGTTCACACATCCACTCTTGAGTCAGTCATTGGAATTGTTACTCCAGTAACTGCAAGAATATATGAAATTTTAATTTTTGTGCCCTGCCGTCCTGTTCTAGATCTAAAACAATGAAAGTTAACTAGGTCAGAACAGCCAGGAAACTAGTATTTTCAAAAAGGTCATCAACAGCATGACAGGTTTATTTTAAAGTATATACAGTGCTCAGCATAAATGAGTACACCCCAACAGATTGGTCAGAAAACCTTTAAACTTTCCTTTCAGAAACATTTTTTATGGGACACTATACAAAAATACTCAAACAAATGTAGGCCATTGATTGCAAAGATTTGTTAATTTGCCCACACAGTATTTTTCCTAACAAAATTCATTCAGACCATGTTGCAAAAAAATGAATACACCAAGGAAAGTCTTAGGATTTTGTCTAAAATTTAGGTTTGCTCCTAATTGACAAGAATTCAACTGCAGGGGAGTCTAATTATTCATTAAACTGGTGTCCAGCAGACAGTTCATCATAAAAAGGGTGTTCCTTAAAGAAAATCTCTTCCAATTTCATGCTGTCAGCAATGTCACCACATTGAAGAGAAATGTTGCAAGGCCTGAGAAAGAACATTTTTTTTTTTCTTTACACAAGGTGAAGGCTACAAAAAGATCAGCAAAGCTTTAACTTTGCAGTAAGAATACTGTAGCAAATGTGATACAAAAAAAGTAACAAAGATAGAACTGCAACTGTCCCAGACGTCCACGGAAGTTAACCCCTCCACAGGAGCGTCTTCTGACTAAAAGGGTTGAAGAAAAATTGCCATGCAAGTTCACTGCAGTTAGCTAAAGTAGAAGTCAAACTGGGTGATTGTTTCCCATGACAATATGGCGTACACTGCAGAGGAATGGCATGCATGGGTGTCATCCATGAAGGAAGCCTCTCCTAAAGCCCATGCACAAAAAAGCCCACCTAGAATTTGACCGGGCCCAAGCTGGAAAAGAAGACTACTGGGACTCAACTCTGGAGTGATGAGATCAAGATAAATGTTTTTGGAACCGATTGCTTCAAAATTGTATGGCGTTGCAAAGATGAGTACAAAAAAAAATAGCTTGGTCCCTACAGTGAAACATGGTGGTGGAAATGTCCTTCTGTGGGGCTGCACGAGTGCTGCTGGTGTCATGGAGCTGCAATTCATTGATGGTATCATGAATTCACAAATGTACTGCTCTGTAGAGAAGATGCTATAATCACTCCGTCGTGATCGTCATGCAATTTTCCAACATGACAATGATCCAAAACACACATCTAAGGCCACTGTCGCATTTCTGAAGAACAGGGTGAAAGTGATTCGGTGGCCAAGTATGTCTCCTGATTTGAACCCAATCGAACACCTATGAGGAAAAGTCGAGCATCTCTCCATCCAGCATCCAGGCTCTAAAAGAGGTCGTTCTTGAAGAATGGAAAAAGATAGATGTTGCAATATGTCGCCAACTTGTTCATTCCATGCCTAGAAGACTTGGTGCTGCCCTTGCAAATTATGGAGGTCATACAAAAAATACTAGATGTCGTAGTTTTTGTTGTGGGATGTATTCATTTTTGCATCAACTAACTTAAGTAAAATTGAAGATTTTGTAATCAAAGTTATATTAACCTTACTTTCATGTAATGAGCTAAATCAATGTTCTATAAAACTCAGTTTTGTCAATTTTGGAAATTGTTCTTGTGTTCATTGAGATGTTGATTAAAATCTTACTTTTCAAAAGGGGTGTACTCATTTATGCAGAGCACTGCATGCCATTGGATAAGTATGATGGCTTTCCAAAAAATAAATACAGAGTCCTCCTGCGCTTAAAGGAAGTAATGCCTAAAAAAATATAGCAGCTGACACTGATACCTTAACAGTGATAAAAAGAATACTCAAAACTAGTGCAGCGCTACCCTAAATATATATCAAAATGATATAAACCATTGTGCTAAAATAAATGAATAAATAATAAACTGTGCAACCGTAAAAAATAAATTTAAGTATCGTGCCAAAAAAAATGTGACCTGTGGTCCCACAAGTGACCTGTCAACAGTGAAATCCAACACCACAAATGTAAATACTGCAACCTATAATGTTATGACAGACCCCTATTAAACAGGGGATACAATACAAAGGTGATAAGTGCCAATATGACCACACAAATCACATATAAAACACGAATATAAATCTCTAATAGTCCATGAATATGAATAGGTGCTTCAAACAACAAAAAATCATGCAATGTGATGGTGATGATATCCATGAAAGTGTCAGACACTTTATCCACAGTGGCTAAATTGCCTCCTCACCTCCTTTAGGCGACCCAATGGGCCACTTCACTTTCAGGATCACTCCTAGATCCTACTCCAATCCTGGCTGGTAGTGTTTCACCTGTAGTCCCTCTCCCAGGTATTATATCAGATACTCCAGGCCTCTCAGGAAAGGTGTGTCTGCTAAATATTATTCTCACCAATACCCATGGTGAGAAAGAAAGAAAGATCCATTACTAGGCTACACTCTTACTTTGATCCACTGCCAAGTCTTCCAGAAACTCCTGTATGAAGCTGGCCGTAGATTAATTGGTTCAGCATCAGTGTTTGGCCATCCTTGCTTGAAAGAAGTTAACCGTTTGATAAACTTCTGATAAAGGGACATGTGCATGTATAGCTGGAGCTGGCAAAACCAGGCTCACTTCTGCCATTTTAATTTTGTATAATATTACACTACAGTAACCCTGTCATTTACTCAAAAACATTCCCCAAGCAGGCATAACTGGAAAACTGCAAATATTTACCTTCCCACACTGCCCGCACCTCCAGAAAGCTGATCCAGTCACAAAATCCTCAGTAATCGGATGCTTCTGGGAGTGTCGCCCTCTTTGGTTTTCCCACAGTGCTCACAGGTTCCACCTGCTAGCACATCTCTCCTGAAGTGTTAAGCTGGCCATAGACGTTAGAATCCTGGCCAGTTCAGCAGGAACCGGACGAGATTCCAACCATCTATGGCCAGACTATTTGTACCAATCTGATTGTTGTATGACTTTGGTAAAACCAGCCTGTTGGATTCTTCATACGATTGCCAGCAGCTGCAGCCACTTGCTATAATCACTGTGCACTCCCAACAGGGACAGCTCCCCCTTGCGTTTCTCTTGCCAGGGAGAATAGCCTAGCGGGAGGGATTCTCCCATCAACACTGACTGTTGGAGGAAATAGAGGTAGCAGAAAAGAAAATCGCGTCATCTATGGCTGGCTAATGAGCAGAAAAAGTAATGCAGATCACTATAAAAGTAAAAGAGGGCAACACAAAAACTAGTGCGATATCTGACACTGTTGCAAATACGCAGATAGGTGGAGTGTGGAAAAACAATCCACTGAAATTATGCTATGGGAGGCATCATCAATATGTGAAAACAAAGACCATTGGGACTTTAATTATGCCTCCAGTAGTGAAAATGACAGTTCATTAAAATTACTTACGCCATTTTAGTAATACAAAAAAATATTTATTGGTCTTTATGGATTTTTTTTTACTATAATAATTTTAATCAGCTGTCATTTTCACTACTGGAGGTATCAAATTCCCATTGGTCTTGGTTTTCACATATGGATGAGGCCTCCCACAGTGAATTTCAATTGATTGTTAATTTCAATACTCCACCTGAGTATTGGCATGAAATTTTAGGGGGGGGGGGGGGGGGCAGCCCACCCCAGCGCCCCCATGTGGCACTTACTTGGTTAGCAGGAGTCCCTCTATGTTCTGCCAGTATGATAGCAACCCTTAATGTTCTGCCAGTATCATAACAAACACAGCCTCCCAAGCATCCCTCCTGACGTGCCTGGGCCCTGCTGGTCTGTGCCGGCCATAGCTATGTGTGCCCGATGCCAAACATGGCATCCCTTCAGCCAGTTTACAATTTAGTGTTGGGTCGCATGCAGAGGACACCCCTGTATTCTAGGATTCAATAAGCTAGAATTTATGACAGGAACCTAATGCACAAAGATTCATTATCTGGTGAATTAAGCTCAAAAATGTGAAAACCTGAGCAAAGGAGAAACCTAAGATCTGTTAAGTGATTGTTCAAGACCTTGCCTACAAAGGAAAGCGTCAACCCACGATGTCTGGTAAAGGTCTGACTATTGCTCCACCTGGTCTTATAAATGGCCAAGATCTATTAGGTCCGGATGCATTCAGATGTTTCAACGTTGAAGGACAATGTCCCACACACATAGCTATCCATTTAATTAGAAGTTTCACATGGAAATGAAGCAAGAAACTCTGAAAGCAAATATTTAAGCAGTCAGAACAATGCCTTTACCTCATCCTCCTCATTGGTTTTAGCTGCAATATATAAGCATGTGATGGCAATACATCGAAGATACTTCATCTGTACCTATGCAGGGAGTAGGGAAACAAAACTTAAACTTAAATTACAAAAAAAAACAAACCCCTCACTGCAAAATGCATTTACTTTCAATCGCATTTAAAGGGGTTTTTGTAAGTGCAATGAACTTGACATCTACTAACAAACATGTTCCGTGCTATTTGATTCATCTGTGTTTCCTTTGTGGTTTCAAATATGCTTGAAAAAAAAAATTAGTTAAATTTTTTTTTTTTCTGTAAAAAGTGCATTTGTTTCTGGAGCCTCTAAAGCAGTGTTCACAAAAAAACCAAGGGAAAGTCCTGTCTGGATCGCAGCCATGCCACCACCGGGTGCCCTCCCTCGGGCACAGGCCCGGACTGGCCATAGGGCTGCTGGGCTTAAGATGACCGAGCCGCTCAGGAGCTAAGTGGCGACCGCAGTCTGGGAGGGGCTGATATAGACAGCAGCCACCACTCACCTCCCGCTGTGCGGCTATGCCTAAAGCAGGGCCAACAGAAAGAGCGGCAGTGATTTCTCCGGATGACAAACAGGAAGCAGCACCGCTGTCACAGGGACACCTCCTTGGCCAGCCGCTGCACTGAAGTGACAACAGCGGCAGTCTCTCTTCACCCGCCGGCACACAGAGCTCTGTAATGGTGGTAGATGGGGCTGTCTCTTTGCCCAGTTGGGTCCAGCAAAGAGACATCCCACCCGTATTGTGTTAAGGGGCGCTGTGTTGTGTTAAGGGGGCGCTGTGTTGTGTTAAGGGGCACCATGATGTGAAGGGAAAAGGAGGACACTGTGGGACATCAGTACACTAAAGATCATAATGTACCGGGGGATTGATGTGTGATATCACCAACAAGATTCGGACCTCTGCTGGAAGGAAATTTTGCTGACCGGACCTCTGTAAATTTTAATTCAAGACCCCTGCTTTAAAGCATTGCACCGGCGGTCAGCAGATTGCATCGCTGGTGCCATGCAGGTCTCCTGCAGACCTGTCAGTATATCTGCTTGCCCATACGGGATGTACAAGCAAGCAGATATACTGACAAGAAAAAATAAAACAATGGCGGTCCACAGCGCACTTCATTGAGCACTACAAGAGGACAACCGCTAAGTCTGTCGGGACCTGTAGTTCATTCACAGAACACAGTGAATGAGATACACGGCTGGCCAGGGGGAGCTAGCGGAGAGGAGAAGATCCCCCACTAACGTTAACAGGGATCGGGGGCCAGACCTTTGGTAACATGTGTTACACCCCCAATATGGGTGTAACATGTTAGGAAAGGTGAACTTATCCTTTAAATCCTATTCTGGCAAGATGATTAAAATACTGCAAAAAAAACACACTGAGCTCTGACACAGGAGGAGCACTCACCCTTACAAATGCCAAGATGCGATTGAGAAAACTAGCAGCCAAGCCGAATGTTTCAGGATAAAATTGGAAGCGTGACCTCAGTTCATCCATCCAAAGAACTACTTGCTTATACTGCATTGGAGAGATATCTGTGCCCTGCAAAACAAAATGGTTGGCAAAGATATAAAGGGGCACAAATTTATAGATTGGTTAGCCACATTGCAGCATTCTGGTGAAATTAAATGATTTCTTGCTCAATATGGAAAATTGGCATTGAGTGTAGCAGGGAAGCACAACAGGAGGGTCTAGATTCCGAATATGTGAAAAACTGTCCGTTTCTACTGTACATCTTAAAGTGACCTGAACACAAAATATAAGATTTGAGCTATTTTAGAATTGAATTGCAGCCAAGTAGTATGGTAAAAATAAATAGTACCTTTTGTTTAATTTCCTCCTGTACAGCAGCAGTGAACATCCTGGTATGCCAGTGTGCCTAGGCACACCTGTGTTTACAGCCTCATATCTACAATATTAGATCTTAGTCACTGAAGCCTCTGCCTGTTAGTCCCAGGATGTTTGGAGCAACATTTGGGGATGTCATTACTTTGCTAACTTTTTCTCTTGCTGGATGCTCTAACACAAGGAAGGAAAAACCCCATTTCTAGATGGCCATTCCCACAAAGAGTGAAAGCATAAACGTGTTATAGGGAAAGGGAGACTGCAGGCAATACTGCAGACTAGTTCCTTTGCCCTCTTCCTGTCTTTTTGTGCATAGAGTACAGTTCTTTTTATGAATACCATAAGCAAATTTAGAATATATTTGACAACCCTGTATTAAAAAAAAAATATATAAAAATACCCGAGCACTAGTAAGAATATGACTAAACTTAATATCTGCACCTATATTGTGTACAAAATGACACTGAACACCCCTGTGAAAAACTGAAGAGTGCAAAATGTGGTGCAGCTTTACATTGAAACCAATCAGCTTCAGTTTCTTTCGTCAAAGCTTAATTGAACAAGCTGAAGTTAGCTCACTGGCTACCATGCAGAGTTGCAACAGATTCTGAGTGCACCAGTTATAGTAAATCTATCCCAGTATAAAAAACAGATTAACATCAATGCAGTGCTCTTTTAAAACCACATGTTCCTGTGTTTCAAGGTGATCTCAAATATATATTACATAAGCAATAAAGTGTCTTTTTGCTTCAGTCATGCAGACTGGATACAATGTCCATATACAGTGCCTGGAAAAAAGTATTCCTACCCCATGAAATTCCACATTGTCATGTTACAACCAAAAAACGTAAATGTATTTTATTGGGATTTTATGTGATAGACCAAACACAAAGTGGCACATAATTGTGAAATGGAAGGAAATTGATAAATGGTCTTAACAATTTTGTACAAATAAAATGTCTGAAAAGTGTGGCGTGCATTTGTATTCAGCCCGTTTACTCTGATACCCCTAACTAAAAGCAAGTGGAACCAATTGCCTTCAGAAGTCACCTAATCAGTAAACAGAGTCCGCCTGTGTGTAATTTAATCTCAGTATAAAGCCGTTCTGTAAAATAACCCAAGCTTTGAACATCTCATGGAGCACTGTTGAATCCATCTGAAAAAGGAAAGATTATGACAACTGCAAACCTGCCAAGACATGGCCATCCACCAAACTGACAGGCCGGGCAAGGAGAGCATTAGAGAAGCAGTCAAGAGGCCCATGGTAACTCTGAAGGAGCTGCAGATATCCACAGCTCAGGTGGGAGAATCTGTCTACAGGACAATGATTAGTTGTGCACTCCACAAATCTGGCCTTTATAGAAGAGTGGAAAGAAGAAAGCCATTGTTGAAAGAAAGCCATAAGAAGTCTCATTTGCAGTTTGTGAGAAGCCATGTGGGAGGACACAGCAAACGTGGAAGAATGTGCTCTGGTCAGATGAGACCAAAATTGAATTTTTGGGCCTAAAAGCACAGTGAGCCATGGTGGTGGCAGCATGTTGTGAGGATGCTTTTCTTCAGCAGGGACAGGGAAGCTGATCAGAGTTGATGGGAAAATGGATGGACCAAATACAGGGCAATCTTAAAAGAAAACCTGTTAAAGTCTGCAAAAGACTTCAGACTGGGGCAGAAGTTCACCTTCCAGCAGGACAATGACCCTAAACATACAGCCAGAGCTAAATCCAATTGAGAATCGGTGGCAAGACTTAAAAATTGCTGTTCAGACGCTCTCCGTCCAATCTGACGGAGTTTGAGCTATTTTGCAAACGGGGAAAAATTTCGCTCTAGATGTGCAAAAAAAAAAAAAAAAAAAAAACACAACTTGCAGCTGTAGTTGCAGCAAAAGGTGGTTCTACAAAGTATTGACTCAGGGGTGCTGAATACAAATGCACACCACACTTCAGGTATTTGAAAAAATTTAGAAAACCATTTATCATTTTCCTTCCACTTCAATTGTGTGCCACTTTGTGTTGGTTTATCACATAAAACACATTTGTTTTTGGTTGTAGCATGACAAAATGTGGAAAATTTCAAAGGGTACGAATACTTTTTCAAGACACTGAAGTCCAAAACAAAAAGTGAGCCACACTACTATCATGCACAAGAAAAACTGGACATGTGCAAAAAAATTCACCATCCCAGGTGCATACATTTCACACACCTCTGTAGCCCAATCGCTTGAATTCTCACCTATTTCGGTAGCCCAATCACTTGGATTCTCACCTATTTCGGTGGACCTCACTAACAGGTAAGGTTAACAATAGCTTAACTTTATAATTCTTCATTAGTGATCCACCTCAACCCAACACACACTGGCTAACTCCAGGAGTTCCTCACACAAACCAGTGAATCATCATCAAAATTCCATGGAATAGCTCATAGTGTGTACCATTCATTTATTGAAGTGGTTTTGTTTTTTGTTTTTTTTAATTTTCCTTTACAAAACACACACTCTTACCTGCTCTGTGCAATAGAATTGTACAGAGGAGCCCCAGTCCTCTTCTCGGGTCCCCCCCACTGGTGCCCCTGGATCCTCTTCTCTTGTTGGTGCAGCCGATTCCCATGGGGGCACTCATGCGGGCTCGCTCCCAAGCCCCGATTGCCGCATCCTTTGACAGACCGCAGCACTTGGCCACTCCCCCTAATCACTGGAGTTTCCAGAGTGGGTGCTGTGATTTTATCCAAGGGATAAATCATCTGATTTAGGCCAGTGATGGTCGGTTCAAGCAGTCCCGACAGCCAGGTGCTCTTTTTCCCCTGTGAGTTGCACTAGGTACATATAAATTTAGTGGCCAAAACGTCAATGGAAAGGTACTCTAGTAAAGAGGCTTACAGGATTCTGAGCATGTCAGATGAGAGCAAAGGGGAAGATTCACTGACACAATCAGCCTCAGCATACGAACCTGTGGACAGCAGCGGCATCCTGCCAGATAGCTCAGACGATGGAGAAGAGGTCCCTGCTAAGATCAGGCACACCCTGACCCCTTTCCCAGCTTGCTGAGATGTTACAAACGCATGATGACTCTCATATGCAGCAGAGTGCCAGTACTAGTGCCGCTCTACATTTTGGTGAACTGGCGAACACCAGTAGCCTAGTACATCCTGGGCTTTCACATGCCAGCACTGCAGTATCACTTGGTGACATGGAGAGTCCCATAAGTGCAGTACAAGCTGGTGCAGTGGCGAGCACAAGTATTGTCCTGCAGCCACTAAGAATTCGCACACAGGTCCATAGAGCCCCTAGTATTAGTCTGGATGTGCTTGCAAATCCCGACTGGTAGCCCACAAATTCTGCAACACCCGTACTTCCAGCATTCACTGCCCAACCCAGAATTCAGGTGGAAACAGTATATTTAAATACTCCCCTTGATTTTTTGGAGTGGTTTTTCACAGAAGATCTGTATGCATTGATTGTGGATCAAAGCAATTTATATGCACAACAGTTTATCGCCGCCAACCCAAATTCAGACCTTGCCCAGACCATTCGCATGGAAGCCCATTTCAGTTTCAGAATTTAAAGTTTTTTGGGCCTAACCCTCAACATGGGCATTAGTAAAAAAAAAAATAAATAAATTGCTGTTGTATTGGTCCACAGACATTCATCATATGCCTGTGCTCTCTGCTGCAATGACCATGCATAGATATGATATATATGCGTTTTATGCATTTCAACGACATTACACTGTTTTTGGGGTGACCCTGAATTTGACTGGCTCCACAAAATACAGCCCCTCAAGAAACACCTTAACCAAAAATTTTCAGATGTCTATACCCCCAGCAAAACATCTGAGCAGTCCCTCAAATTTTTCTGGCTGCCGTGCATTCAAACAATTTCTTCCCAGCAAGCGTGCCAGATATGGGGTCAAGATGTACAAGACCTGTGAGAGGGCAACAGGCTATACATATAAGTTTTGGGTTTACGAGGGAAAAACATTGAGCCACCCTGGATGCCCAGTCTACAGGGGGAGCAGTGGCAAGATAGTTTGGGACTTGGTGTCATCCGTTCCATATGGGGTACCACTTCTCTACGTGGACAATTTTTATTCAAGCGTGCCACTATTTAGACATTTGTACAATTTTGTAATTGGCGTATGTGGCATCATGCAACCTAATCACTGGGGCTTCCCCAAACGGCTTGTAAATACCGTCTTAGAAAGGGGGAAAAAGCTTGCTTGAGAAATGAGGAATTGCTCGCAGAGAAGTGGTTGGACAAACAGGATGTTTTCGTTCTGTCTTCCATTCATGCAGACACGACCATCCAAATTGCCACAGCAGCTGGTGTTGAGAAGCCCCTCTGTGTCCACAACTATAACCTAAACATGGGAGGGGTGGACTTGACGACCAGATGATGAAGCCGTACTTTGTTTCCCAAAAAGCCAGACGCTGGTACAAAAAGTGTCTGTATTTCAATTGGTTCTATATAATGCTTTACAAAGCAACTGGATGAAGCGGATCCTTCCTAAAATTCCAGGGAGAGATCATCACGGCCCTATTATATCCAAAATGTGCTGTGACCCAAACCCCCAACACAGATGCAGTTAACCGGCTGCATGAGAGGCATTTTTCCGATGCAATTCCTGGTACCCCCAACCCAAAGGACACCCCAAAAATACATGTTTCTGTAGCAGACATGGAATTAG